GCATTTGGGGTACCATGAAATAAATATTTACAGTTTTCTGATGATATATTATAATTTTCAAAATTTAAAAAATGTGTATAGGTTTTATTGCCATTATTAAAGTACATGATGTTCACTAACTTTGGAATACCTTCAGTAATTTTTATCCATTCTTTAAAAAATAAATTCTTTATTGTTTCACATTGATTTTTTAAATTGCCATATTTTTCTATATGAAAATTATAATACAATGATTTTGATAGATCAAATTCTCTTAAAAGATTTGATAGTTCCAATTTTGAATTGTTTGATAAAAAATAATTTTGTTGAATTAAATTGGAAGGACAATTAGAACAATATAAATTTATATCACATATATCACTGCACATCCTGTGAAAATATATATTTAGCTATTTTTTCTTAATTTTTCAAATATTTTTTTTTTATTATTTTAAGTTTATAAAAACTATTTTTTAAGTTTTAGGTAAAATTTTATAAGTTTTTTTTTTTAAAAATAGTTGTTTTAATTCTTTAATTAAGGAATTAAAACAACTATTTTAAAATAATTAAAATAATGAAATAATAAAAAAAATTAAGTTTTTTTTTAGGAAAATAAAATATTTTAATTGCTTTTATTTTTTTAATATTAATTTTATTAATATTAATTTTTTTTTAATTTTTCTCTTAAATTCATTAATAAGATACCCAATTTGTTTTCACCTTTTCCATCTCTTCCAATTCCCCAATAATCATCTAGTGGACTAGATTCTATTAAATGAAGATTACCAGTACTTAATAGTAGTTGTGTAAGTTTGTAGTTTTGAGTAAATTTTGCATAAAGAACATACTCCATTACATTATCTCTAAAATTGTTCCAGTCTTTTCTAATAAACTTCTTATTTGACTCTTCTGATACGAATTCGTATACTTCTCTTGGAGTATTTAAATTTCTAACCTTTTCTATTAATTCATAATTTGGTGAAAACTTTTGAGCTTGGAAGTAGTGTTCAGATGTTTTCCAAAATAAACCATCAAGTACAAATGGAGACCCACTATAGAAATTTGAAAATTCATAAAAATGATCGTTTTTGGAATAAAATTTCAATGTTCCAGAACTAATTTTTTCTATTACAGTACTGTAAGAGTTTTTAACACTATCATTAAAGATTTCCTTTAAAAAAGTTCCCCTGGTTCTTTTCATTGGATGACCATCGTAATCATAACTATCCAAAACAATTACATTTGCTTTTAAATTTGAAAGTTTATTATCATTTTTATCACAAAGAATAAAATGAATTTTATTATTGATATCGGTGATTAGATCTAATGCATCCAAATTAAATAATTGAATAATTTTGAATTTATCTTTTAAATTGTTATAGATTTCGTAATCTCTTCCCATTATTGGTGCTTCTTTTACCCAAATTATAGTTTGATTTAAATGTTCATAAATATTATTGTTTTGATTATATTTAATATAATTATTATTCAAATTTGATGAGTTTCTATTATTATTAACTCTATTATTATTATTATTATTATTATTATAACTACTGATATTATTAAAATTAGAGGGGGTAGGGATTTGGGAAAAAGAAAAAGTTGTTCCAATGTTATTTTTTGTTAACATTTTAAATTTTAAACCACAAGTTTTAGAACAAAAGTCATAATTTAAATACTTTTTTTCCTTACAACCATGCATTGAACAGATACTATCCATTTTTAATATTATTATTGTAGAATAAATAAATATAAAAAAATTGGTTATTTTAAATTTTAAAAAAAAAAAAATAATTTTTAAAAAAAAAAAAAAATTAAGTTTCATAATTTTAAAACTTAAATTTAACTATTGCTTAGACTTAATAAAAGTTTAAGTTTTATAATTTTATTTTTTAATATATTTTTTTTGAACAATAATAGTTTAAAAAAAAAAAAGTAAAATACTTTTTTTCTGTAAAAAAATAAAAATGTAAGCAGTGTCTAAATTTACATATTTATATTTTTTAAAATGATAAAATCGACATTTTAAAATTTAAATAGTTTTTATTATATATTATATTGTACATAAATAAATAAATTAATTGAGTGTTTAGAAGCATTTTCTGTGGACAATTGATGGACCAGATTCGTCATATTCTTCTTTTGAAATCCACATTTGTTGGAAAGTTGAGAGTGAGGCTAAAATTGAACCACCAATCCAGACAGAGTATTTACGTTCTGGTGGGGCGATGATTTTAATTTTCATGGTTGATGGGGCTAAAGCAGTTAATTCTTTGTTCATACGATCAGCAATACCTGGGAACATAGTTGTACCACCTGATAAGACGACATTACCGTATAAATCTTTACGAATATCAACATCACATTTCATGATTGAGTTGTAAGTGGTTTCGTGGATACCAGCTGATTCCATACCTAAGAATGATGGTTGGAATAAAGCTTCTGGGCAACGGAAACGTTCATTACCGATGGTGATGACTTGACCATCTGGTAATTCGTATGATTTTTCTAAAGCAGATGATGAGGCAGCAGTTTGCATTTCAGCTTCGAAGTCTAAAGCAACGTAGGCTAATTTTTCCTTGATATCTCTGACGATTTCTCTTTCAGCAGTGGTGGTGAATGAATAACCACGTTCAGTTAAGATTTTCATCATGTAATCGGTTAAATCACGACCAGCTAAATCTAAACGTAAGATGGCATGTGGTAAAGCATAACCTTCGTAGATTGGAACAGTGTGGGAAACACCATCACCTGAATCCATGACAATACCGGTGGTACGACCTGAGGCATATAATGATAAGACAGCTTGAATGGCAACGTACATGGCTGGGGTGTTGAAGGTTTCGAACATAATTTGGGTCATTTTTTCTCTGTTAGCTTTTGGATTTAATGGAGCTTCAGTTAATAAGACTGGGTGTTCTTCTGGAGCAACACGTAATTCATTGTAGAAAGTATGATGCCAGATTTTTTCCATATCATCCCAGTTGGTAACAATACCGTGTTCAATTGGGTATTTGAGGGTTAAAATACCTCTCTTTGATTGGGCTTCATCACCAACATATGAGTCTTTTTGACCCATACCGACCATAACACCAGTGTGTCTTGGACGACCAACAATTGATGGGAAAACAGCTCTTGGGGCATCATCACCAGCAAAACCGGCTTTGCACATACCTGAACCATTATCAATAACTATAATATACAACAATAATAATATTGAATTTTTCAATTAACAAACCTTGTTTTTTTTTTATTTTTATATTTTATTATCTTTAATTTTTTTTTAATCTTACCTAAAGCTTGAACGTCTTCACCTTCCATTTTTTGGTATTTATCTGTATATATATATTTTAATTTGTAAAAATAATGAAATGAAAAAATTGAAAAAAATATCAATTTAAATAAAAAAATAATTGTTTGAAAAAAATTAAAAATTGCAGCCACCAAAAAAATCCCAAAAAAAAAAAAAAAAAAAAACCAAATATTTCAAATAAAAATCTTTATTTTTATTTTTATTTTTATTATTTTAAAATTTCTTTAGATTATAATAAAAAATTATTTTGGACAGAAAAATAAAAATAGGCTGAAATATTTTTTATTTTCTAAAAATCAAAATTTATCAATAAATATATATATTTAGTAAATGAAGTATATTTTTAACTTAGCCTATTTCTTATAACATAATTATTACTAAATATAACAAATGGATGACGGAGCAATTGAAGGCAAACCTATTTAGAATCCATTGGGTGTCTAATTAAAATTTAATAATATAAATCAATAATAAAAAAAATACGTAATAGTTTTGAAATCCTATAGCTTTTAAATATATTCACAACCACATTATTTATAATAATAATATTAATAACAAAATCAACATTAATATCAACAACATAGTTAATGTGGTTGTTGTGTGAAAATTTTAATACCTTTTAATTTCGAAATTAAAAGTAATTATATTATTTTTTACTTATTTTATTTTTAATTTAATATTTTCATTTTTGATTTATTATTATATAATCATAAAAGACAGAATTTTTAACAATATATACCCTTGAAACATTTGCCCATTCTCTTAATAAAGCACATTTTTCTATTCTATCACACCCCATTTTTGATCGATTTTTGGTAAATAACAACTTAGCACAAAAAAAGTTCTTTCTATTTCCAACACTGTATTCAAACCAAAGAAATGTTCATTCAGTTGCTTCTTCAAACTCAAATAACATTTCTTACAATTGAATATAGTGTTGGAAATACAGTTCTTTTTTCTTTCCAGTATAAAATTATATCAATTCTTTTATTTCAAATATTTAAAAAAAAGCCTGGATACAATTTTATATTGGAAAGAAAAAAGAACTGAATTTCCAACACCATTTCTTTGATATTTAATGAAATAGAAGTAAAATCTACACTTTATTGCACTTAATATATTTGAAAGTTTGATTTTAAACTGTAAAGTCATTATTGATAATTTATATTTATTTCTATTATTAATAGAAAATGATGTAGTTTAATTTATAAATACAATTAATAAAATTTAAGATAATTTCATAAAACTTTTTTATATTATAATATTTATTATAATATTTATTTTATTCTCTTTCTGTTTTTTAATTAATTTATAATACATTTTCCCATTCTCAAAGAATCGTTAAATTCAAAATTTTGTATGATTTTGATTTCAAAGTTTAAAAGAGGAGACAAACAATAATAATCATTTCTTCAATAAATAAAAAAATTATACTAAATTATATCATGAAGAGCTATTTTTAATAAAAAGGAAAACAGTAAAAATAAAAATATTATTTATAAAAAAAAAATTTTATTATATTTTATTTTAAATTTATTTTAAATAAATTAAATGATGTTTCAATATCCTAATATTAAAATCATTTGATGTTCCAATATATTTGCCTGGCCAGGGAAAATGTATTTCTTCCATCAAATAGATTGAAATATGGTATTATATATTTATAATATTGTACTTGTTATTTTTTTAATTTTTTTTAATTTTTTTACTAATATAGTGAAAATTCTATTATTATAATTTTTTTTTTTTTTTTTAAAATGATGATGATGAGGACCAAGATGAATGCTGATGATGATAACGCTGAGGACCAAGACGAATGCCAGTGATGATGCCGGTGAGGATGCTCATGATGATGATGATGATGATGATGAGGACCAAGACGAATGATGATGAGGACCAAGACGAATGCTAGTGTTGATGAGGGGCAACCAATGATGATGACGCTGATGATGCTGATGATGATGAGGGGCAAAGTGATGGTGGTGGTGAGGACCAAGATGAATGATGGTGACGATGAGGACCAAGATGAATGATGATGATGAGGACCAAGACGAATGATGATGATGAGGACCAAGATGAATGCCGGTGAGGATGCAGATGATGATGAGGACCAAGACCAATGATGATGATGAGGACCAAGATGAATGCCAGTGAGGATGCAGATGATGATGAGGACCAAGACGAATGCTGATGATGATAATGCTGAGGACCAAGATGAATGCTGATGATGATAACGCTAAGGACCAAGACGAATGCTGATGACGAGGACCAAGATGAATGCTAACGATGAATGCTGCTGATAAATGCTGCTAATGATGATAATGCTGAGGACCAAAAAGAATGCCGGTGAGGATGCTGATGATGATGAGGACCAAGATGAATGCCGGTGAGGATGCAGATGATGATGAGGACCAAGACGAATGCAGATGATGATGAGGACCAAGATGAATGCTGATGGTGATAATGCTTAAGACCAAGACGAATGCCGGTGAGGATACTCATGATGATGAGGACCAAGATGAATCCTAATGATGATGAGGACCAAGATGAATGCTGAGGATGATAACGCTGAGGACCAAGACGAATGCCAGTGAGGATCCCGGTGATGATGCTCATGATGATGATGATGAAGACCAAGATGAATGCTGCTGATAATGCTGAGGAATAATAAAAAAAATAAAATTAGTATTTATTTTTATCACATATTATATATATATATAATTACCTGTTTGTTTGTTCGCTTGAGCTATTATAAAAAATAAAATAAATGTATATTGATAAAACGAAAATGAAAATAAAAATGAAAAAAAAAAAAAAATTTTCCCCCACACACCACAAAAAAAAAAAAATTTTAATAAAAAAAAAAAAAAAAATTAAATTTAAAAATATGAAATTTAATTAAAAAAAAATAAAATTTACCACACACACAAATTTCTACAAAGGAATTGCGAACATCATTATTAAAAATTATAATAATAATAATTTTTAACTAATATAGTCATTTAGATTTATAATAATAGTTTTATAATTATTTTAAAACAAAACATGAAAATATATGTGTGTGAATATTATTAATTTGAGAGGTATTATTTTAAATTTGTATATTTAAAAATGCAACAATGATAATAAAATAAAATAAAATTATTAAATAAAAAACATACGGTTCTTAAATTTAATATTCGATCCTTTTTTTGGATAAAATTTTTTTTTGAAAACCGATGCGGTTCGGAGCTTTAATTAAGAGAATCCAAAAATGTATGTGAAGAGGATATCTTTAGTTTAGATGAGTTTAAAGATAAATTTAACCTAAAAACAAAAATATAAATACACATATTTTATCTTAATTTGGTCCTTTCATAGACATTTTAGGATTTTTTATTTTAAAAAAAAAAATAATAAATAAATTAACACTTTATATAAAAAATATACATATTTTATCTAAATTTAGCCCTTTCACACATTTTTGAATTTTTTTAATTTAAAATTTATTTTTTTTAAATTTATTTTTATAATTTTTTTAATTGCTTTGTTTTATTAAATTTCGTATTTAAACTTTTTTTTTTTTCATTCCATTTATTTTTCAAACACATAAATATTTATTTGTTATTGCTTTTATATATATTCACTTTTAATTTCCAAATTATTTTATTTTTTAAATTTTCTATTCATTTATATAATTTTCGAACTCTATATTATTTTATAAATAAAAAACCTCCTCATCTCTCAAGAAAGTACGACTGCTATTAGGAACAGGATACCCAAAGACCACAGTAAATCTAAAAAGTCGCAACTCACTCATACCGTAAAAATAAATAAAGGCCTATTAATTTTATAATATTCGATATGGAGAAACCGGACATTCAAATAACCCAAAGAACACAAAAATATAAAAAGAATACAGAGCTAACCAAAAAGTCACAACTCATTAGTTCATTAAAATAGAAATATACCATTTTTCATTCAAAATATATATTAAAATAAAAATATGATCACAAACATCATCACACCAACATAAATACAGGCTTATTAATTTTATAATAAATTAATAATAATATAGTAAGGAAAGGAAAATGAAGAAATTAAGTCCAAAGTTACTATAAAAAAATTGAAAAATATTTAAAGAAAATATGATAAAGAAGAACCGGAGAATTAAACAACCCTAAGAACACAAAGATTTAAAAAAATACAGAATAAAACAAAAAGTCACAACCAATTCGTACATAAAAATAGCAATATATATCATTTTTCATTCAAAATATTTATTGAAATAAAAATATGATCACAAACATCTAAAATAAAAATATGATTACAAACATAAATACAGGTTTTTTAATTTTATTTTTTATAGTTTTTTTGTAATTTATTTTATTTTATTTTATTTTTATTGTTGTTATTATTATTATTATTATTAAAACTGCATTTATCATTGTCTTAATTATTGTTTTTAACTGTTTATTGAGATATCATTCTTCCATCTCATTTTCTTCATTTCACCACTACCATATTCTTCTTCTTTATCATCTGTATCATTGATAAATTCTTTTTGGTAACCCAAAGAATGTAACTTCTTCAATTTCTTCACTATTGTCATTGTCATTTAACATATTCTCCTCTTCTGATGTTGATATTGAACTTTTGACTATTGATGAGTTAAAATTACAACCTTGTTCTTTTCTGCAAAGTCTAATTTATAAATTTTAAGTGTATTAATACTAGTAATAATGCATATTGTTGCTTTTGATGGTTAATCTTCCAAATACCACTGAAACAACCAAATCCCTTGTGTATACAAAATATATATAAGACAAAATTATAGAATTAAAAATTCTCTTTCCCTATACAATTAATTATCAAAATAAAAAGAAACTTATTGGAATCAAAGACCATTTAGAATATTTTGTAATATATTAGAATTAACAATTTTTATCATTTTATTTTATTTATTTTAAGATTTTGGAGTTGAAAATAACATTTGTTTCCAAAGATAATGACATAAAGTATTAATTAATTGACTTGCATGCTCCAATTCGAATGTATCCAATTCTAATTCTCTTTCCTTTGAAATTGACTGGTCATCTCTACGACAAATAAAAGCATCGGTATCTTTTTCTCTTTCATTCCAAATGAGTTCAAGCATTAAACAGTCAGCCTTTGGATTTAAAATGAAAAGATGGTGATAGGGTTCATTGTAAAGTTGACGAATACGATCACCACAAGTTTTAACCAAATGAGTTGAAAGACCATTCCATACACCTCCCATATATGTGAAAAAGTTGGTTGAGCCAATTAAAGATTCATCCATTGTTTTTAATGATCTGTGTTTGATAAAGGTCATGAAATGGTTGTATTCTTGATGTGATAATGCTGGTTCGTAAGGATTACCATTTAAAAGTTTTAGCCAAAGCATATCACGTTGATAAGCTACACTAGATCCAACTACAAATTTATAAATACGTTGTCTAGCGATTTCTTCTGCCCATGACATTGCTTTATAATTCTTTTCTAATTGTTCCATTGTCTTTTGATTAATAAATGTAGAAGAGGCTGTTGTTGGGTTTAAATTGCCAATACTTGAATTAGTTGTTGATGAATTTGAAGAAGAAGAAGATGATGAAGATGATGAGATAGTTGAAGAAGGTGAATCTTGGTGCTGTTTAGTTGATGGCATTTGCTTTTGTTTTTGTAGCTGTGGTGATTGTTGTAGTTGATGACTAAGATGATGATGACTGTGAGATCTTTGATGATGAGATGTTGGTTCGATAATATTTGGTGAAGGAGTACTTGTAAGAGTTGGTGTAAGTGAATTTCTTGAGCCAAGATTATTCATGCTATGATAATGGTTATGATGACTAGAGATATGATGTAAATTACTATTTCCAGTGTTATTGAATGAAGCAACAGAACCCATGGACATATTTGTAGAATTATTACTATGATATATATTATCAACACGTGGGAAACTAGTATTTGTAGCTGTTTTTAATATAAAATATTGTAATTTAATTGAATGATTTGATTCATTTACAATAGTATGACTATTATCTTTCTCGTTATTATTATTATTATTAATATTATTATTAATATTATTATTAGCTATATTATTATTTGAATTATCTTCGTTACTATTTGAATTTTCGTCACAATTTAAACAAAACACTACACATGTCCATTTATATTCAATTTGTGATGAATGTGAAGTATAGTGAGAATGAATGTCAGCTCCTGGACTTATATTAAACTGAATAGCTGGATAAACTCCAATATGATTAAGATTTGAAATGCCATAAGATGCCACATTCTTTACTATATAATTGAATAACTCTGATGGTTTGATTGGAATTGGTAATATATATGTTGACTCATATAAATGAGAATACGAATGTGCTGGTGGTTTTGGATAGTAGTTTGGCATTGAGTGCATCATTTCAATGAAATATTTTGGAGGTAGGCTCGATAAATTTTCTTCGTTATTATTACTGCTACTATCGTTATTATTAACTTTTGGTAAATGATTACCATCTAAAAATGATTGAAGTTTTCTTAAGTGGAAATCGTATACAAATGAATTAAGATGTAAATGATGAGTAAAGATACCATACTCCTCTGCAAATAAAGTTGATAGTGGTTTGGAATTATCAGTAGTTGACTGTTTGGCTGATGGCAAAAGAATAGCAAACAATTCACAAGTGACAGAAAGATCTCGGAAACCAATCTTGATAAGCAAAGAACCCCCTTTAAAGTTTTGTTGCAAGTATGCCTTTAATTGGCAATTTAAAATAAACTTGTTAATGTTACCAAGTGATAGCTCGCTATTGTTGGGGGTATTGGATGGAGATGGTGGTAGATTTGAAATTACAATTTTATTTGATCGTAATACTTTTTCCATATATTTGATATATTCTTCAACAAATTGTTCCATCATATTCAATTTCCATTGATTAATGTGAAGTGTTGAATTTATAATGCTATTTTCAGTAGAGTTGTAATTTAAAGTTGGTAAATTATTAGATGAACCTTTAGGAGCCATAACAATACCAACCAAAGTAGGTGAAATGTATTGTTGCTCTACAACAGATGATAATGAGTCTTTTGGTATGAAATAGTCATAAAGGAATGGTACACATCTAAAATGAACTAATCGAGACATTTTCATAATAGTTTCTAATTGTTGGGTTGAAGGGGTCTTATCACTGTCTGTAAAGAATGAACGAGCCTGTGCAAACATTCTTTTTGCCTCTGATGTTTTTTCGACATAATTTGCAATACTTTTAATTTGACCCACATATCTGGCTAATGGCTCGATAATAACTGGTAATCTTGATTCATAAAATACTGTAATTTGGGGAGATGGATAATATTCTCTTAAAATATTTTCAAAATCTGGTATAGATAAAATATTTTTCTTTTTCTGATTTGATAATTGGCTGGGTTGTTGTATTGGGATTGAGGGTAACTGTTGGTAGCTAATATTTGTGAGTGGTTTAGATTTTTGTCTTGGTGATGGATTTTGAAGTGATTGTAAATCCTCTTTATTTGGTAGAGTGGTTAATGTTGTATTAGTTGAGGTTGTTGGTGTACCTGTATTCGATTTATTTTGGTTTCCTGTTGAAGATGATATAGAGGTTGATGATGAGGCAGTGTTTGCGGCACCAACATTTACATTTGATTTCTTTGGAAGTTTTTGATTACCAATAAGTAAATCAACATTATCGTAGGTGTATTTGACAGTTGGCCCCATTTTTTCACCATTAAAGAATGAGTTTACAACTGATGAACTATTAAATGGAGCAACATGGTTAAACAACCCCATTTTTTGGTGTAATACATTATTTAATAGATTTCTTCTTAATGTGAACCATGACTGTACACGATTTAGACCAGCTTGTAAAAATTCTAATTTGGTAGAACTCCAATTATAGGTGTAGATTACAATTTGATCGGAACTAATAAATGCTATTAAATTGCAATGTCTCATAATAATTGAATTTAATTGAGGATCTTTAATATGGGAATAGTATAGGCCCTCATTGGTGTAAAGTGAGGTGTCTGATGAATTATTTAAAATCTCATTTGGTAAATTATTAGTACTTGAGGTGTGTTGAGACTGAGATGATTGTGATGATATCGACGTTGTTGAAGATGATTGTTGGTTGGGTGGCACTTGCTGATTCAAATTTAGTGATGTTATTTCATTTTCATTTATAATATTTTTACCAGAGAATAAATATAACCTGTATTTGTTTTTATTCAATAAATTAATAAGTGGTTGTTGTTGATACTGTTGAATATATTGATTACTTTGAATTGATGGTGATGAATCATCAATTAAAATTGAATCGTCTTGATTATTTGTATTAACAGCTAAAGTGATTTGACGTGGTTTTGGTTTATAGTTTGAATAAACAGATGAAGATGGATCACTTTGATATAAAACAGTTGAAGCCAGTTTATAATTTGCATCGTTAATTATTTCACTGATTTCAGAAATAAAACTATCTGTAGCCCAAGTCGAAAGATTTTGAATATTAAGTTTGGTTTCACTTATTGAGATATCGGATAATTGTCTACCTCTTTGGAAAATCTTTTTGCTTGGTAATAAATATTGTTCACCAATTTGATTCGTTGAAACTGTGCCTGGAATTAAAATATTTTCAAGAATGTATTCACCAAGTGTTTGGTTAATTGATTGCACCAATCTATCAACCAATAACTGATTGTTAATTGTCCCTTTAAACCATAGTTTTAATTGAATTTTATTACTCCAATCCTCTATACCATCTAATAATGATGAGCTTTCAATTGGTTGTGAATTATTTGATGCTGATGACAAATCTGGCTCTTGTTGGGATATAACTTCAACACCCCTTAATGTTTCATTAATAAATTCATTCTTTTGTTGCACTGTAAATTGATTTAAATCTTTAAGACAGTTTGACTTGGGAATTGAGTTCATAACTGTGTTTTGTTGATTTAACAATGAAACAACAATGTATGATATACCTTGACCAATTGAAGAAAATGTTGATTGGGAAGTTGTAGATGCTATAAAATTATAAAGGAATGTGAAATCACTTTGTTTCAAATCAAAACTTTCTTTAATTCCAATACCTGATGCTGTGTTTGTATTATTACCCAATCCACTATTTGAACTATTATTACTAAATAAACTATTTGTTGATGATGACATATTGGTACTCGAACTTGGTAAAATTTCAGATGTAGCCGACAATGGATTAATGGTTTCACTACCTGTAGATTGTGGACTATTAATTAATGCTGTTGCTGTTGCTGTTGCTGTTGCTGTTGCTATTGCAGGGGTGATTGCTACTGTTGGTGCCACTGTTGGTACAGGAACTTCATTTGAAGATGATGATGGTGAATTATTAGAATCTGTGTTGTTTGTTTGAATTGGTGAAGTTGTGGTTGTAGTGGTGGTTGTGGTAGTTGTAGTTGTCGTTGAGATTGTATTGCTTGATGGTGAAAGATTAGTTGTATTAGTTGTAGTGGTTAAACTGCTTGTTGTTGTTGTGACCAAATTATTGGTTGGTGATTGAATGGTTGCCAAATGTAGTATATTAAGATATTGTAAAAAGTTTTGCTTTAAAAACAATAAAAATAAATATGGATCTAGAATACCACATTGGTCTGGAATTTTAATAGTTACAACAGTTGGTATACTTGTAGGAGGTTTAATGAAATCAATATCTTGTGGTGTAAGTTTAAGCATTGGGTTACGAATAATCATACCAGAGATATATTGTAATGTAATTGAGGATAGTCTAGATTCAATCAACTGGGATAATTGTTGTGTAATTTCAACACCTGGAAAATCGATACCATAAACATCTAAACTGAGGAATTGAAGTTGGTCCTGTTGTGGTTGTGCTTGGGAATTAGGAGTGGATCCTGTTGTTAATGGTGGATTTAATGGGGTTTGTGATGAAGGTGGCTGAATGGTTGATCTTTGCTTTAATAGGGCTACTTGATTAATATAAGATTCTTTTGGTGGCGAAGTACTTGGAGATTGTAGCGGAGATTGTTGTGGAGAATTGAAAAATTCAATCGAATTTACAGTTTGGGGTTCAGATAACTTCATATAAAATATATTTCCACCCATTTCACGATAAACATACATTTTCTTACGGTTACTTATTGAGAACGCATGAAGTACATTAGAATTTAAACCTCTGATGGCATTGGTTGCTTGTAATCTTTCGTGTAGTGGGAAATACATTGTGTGAACCAAAGGACATGTAAATTCACCAAAAACAAAGGGTAATGGCTTTTTAATTTTATTTCCCTTCTTATCGTAAGCAATATAATAGTGATCCTCATCATAATGATTTGAAAATGATGAAAATGCAGACATCTTTTGAGGTTGTTGTTTTATTGGCTGTTGTTGGAATCTTGATGTTAATGGTGGCTGTTTACTTACTGGAGACTGTTTTGCCATTAGCAATGGTTTTGGTAGAGGAGCCTGAACCTGGGGTGGAGGAGGTTGTTCATCCGGAGGTATTAATAATGGACTACAAGATCTAAACTCATCTAATTGGTTTAATAGAATCAATTGATTAACTCTTTTTACAACCTCTGCAATCGAGACCTTAATTAACTCTTGTTCATCTTTAGGGTTAAATTTATGAATACAAACACTACCATTATTATTATTTGTAAATATTGAATCCATTGATGTTGTTAAAATATCAATACCATGCATAATGTTTGGTTGTGGTGTACTATTAGCTGATGATTCTATAATCTCCATATTTGTATTTAAAATTGATTTACCACCGGATTGTGGAGTATTTGACCCACTTGAACTTATACCAGTTGGTTGTTGTTGTTGATTTAAATTGGTTAAATTTAAATGGCTTGATGAACGTTGCTTTGAGGGCTCAACATGTGGTGATGAAAGTGCACTCTTTGAATGTTGGTGATGAATAGGATGCTGTGATTGATTGGTTGTTGAACTCAATAGGGTAGAATCTATACTATTACTATTGCTAGAATTAATATCGCTATGATGGGTCGGAGTAACAGGCATAGATTGTGATAATAGTTGATTACTTGGATTGTTTGAATTATTAACCAAAATTTGATCGGTAAGACCCAATTGACAAAGTAAATTTTGTTGTTGTTCTTTAATAAAAGCCTTGGTTGAAATAGATGAAAAAAATTGAATTTTAATGGTGTTTGTGGTGGAATTATAATACATAACTAACCAATATGGTATAGTAAAATCTTCATTCTTTGAGAACGAGTCTGAAGAATCACCGGGATTGACACTATTGGATGTATTATCGGCCATACTACTAATATTACCACTACTGCCACTATTTGTACTAACAATTGATTCTCTTGAAATGGGTGTACTATCCATACCTTTGAGATCACACATCCAAATTTGAGAAGAGCTATTACTTAATGGATTTGAAAGACCACCACTTACATTAATTTGATCACTACTATTTCTAACAGCTATTTCTTGATTATCAACAGATGATGATAAAGAATTATTTGAACTTGATTGTACTAGACCACTTATAATTTTATTTTGGGGTTGTGGTAATGTTGATATTGTTGTTGGTTCTTTTAATAATGTTGGTTTGAACTTTTGAGACTCTTGATAATAAATAAATGTATCAGTTCCAAATTTTTTGAATTTCATTTTACTGTGTTGTTCAAACTGTTGTGGAAACAATAAGCTACCTTCTTTGGCATCAACAAAAATCATATTTATAGACTGAGTATGAAGATGATGATATTTTGATTTAAAGCTATTTAATCTATTTAAATGATAGATTACCAAATCTACAATATATTTAGTAATTGGTCTGATGGTTCTAAGACAATCCAAAATTTCAGCTGATAAAACCGAGATTACAGATTTTCGGTGTGTTTTCATTGTGCCCCAGAGATATTTTGGTAAATTGGCTTTTAATGATTCGATAAATGTAGATTGATTTGTATTTGAGCTATGATGTAAACTTGATAATGGCCCAATACTTTCGCTGCTACTGCCTATACTACCTTTGGTGCTTGATGTGGATCTTGTATTATGAAGACCATGATGATGTTGTTGACGATGGTGAGGAATTGATAAAGAGGGTTTACTTGAAATTGGTGGTAAAACAATACATCTAAATCTAATATAAGATTTAATTGGTGAAATTTCAGCCAATAAAGTTGGATTTGACTCTAGGTTCTCTGAAGTAAATCTATATTGGTAATTATAGTTGGTTGAACCAGGCATTTCGAAATTAGTTGGACCTACACCTGGACCTTCACCTTCTAAAGATGGAGATTGGAACTCTGGGTTATTATGATAAACTACAAACTCCATCTTTAAAAACAATGGTAATGGAAACATACCAATAGTTGTATTCTTTTGATCAATTGTATTTTTACCAATTTCACCTAAAATAATTTGTAATTTTCTTTCAATATTATCTGATTGATTTTCGAAAGAGTCACTGCTATTTTTATTTTTGTTGGGTGTTGAAGTAGATTCCTCTTCTGTATTGCTGCCGCTAGTGATATCATCATCTTCATCATTATCATCATCAGTATCTGATTTTTCTGTAGTTTCTTCAGAAGATCCATTATTATTTAATGAAGAGTTATTATTATTATTGTTACTGCTGCTGTTATTAATATTATTTGACGAACTTATTTTTTTATCATAATAAAAATAATCTGTATTAGAAATTTGGGTGAATGATGTCATTACTTGGGGAGTAAATCTATCTTTAAGATAACTTGCAATGCTATTTGGATGTGATTTTTGAAGAATACGAAGGAATTGAGTGATATCGATATCTACAAAATAATCTTTGCAAGTTGGAATCGATGAAAGGAAATCTTTTGTTTCAATTGGAATCTTATCACGTAAATTTGTGTAAAGTGCTTTGATGTAAGCACGTTCAAAAGTACTTCTAACAGTCCTAATATATTGACGAGTTGATGGGTGTTGTGGTGTAGTGTGGTAGATAGTTTCATGATAACTATTCTTCTTTCTTGCGTAAAATTGGTGTAATGGTTCATTGACGGCGTTTGATTTACCATTACAACCTGGTAAAATCCCGCCACTGCTTTTACATGTTGAATTAGAGTCAAAAATCTGCTCAAAGAAATCCATTCCAGTATTTGAATGATTGATATCAATAAAACCTTTAATTGAACATTCATAAAATGATACAACGAATGATTTATCCTCTTCATCTTGAACCTGTTGTTCTTCTTGGCTGCTGGCAGAGTTTTGTTTTAAACGGTGTGGGTGTAAAAACGTTAAAATAAAATCGGATTGATTTATACCCTTAATAAAGCATTTTCCACCTTTAAATTTATTTTTATCCAAAGGACCTAATTGAATTTTATCTAATGGTACCTCTAGTATATTTAGAGTTTTAATAATATCTGATAAAAGATTATATAACTTGATGTTTGCATTAATTGATTTTTGTTTATCTTCTGGTGTGGCTCTAATATTTTTATTAATAGCTGTTGTTGATGATAAACTACAATTTTCATTGTCGTTGTTGTTACTTGGTAAATTTACAATTGGGAATAGTTTTTGAGTTTCTGTTGAAAATGAAACTATTGATTCTAGTGAAAAAATAGGTTTATCGGCAATTAGCTTTTGAACAACTGGTTGGCCAAATTCAAACTCTCTAAATAGCAATTGAACTGATTTATCTTGATTTAAAACTTGATTCAACTCACTCTCTGGACTCGATGAGAGTGTAATCGCTAATAGGTCATTAAAACTTGATAATGCAGATATAATACTGCCATCGGATTCTTCGAACCAATTCTTTAAATGAAGGAATAAATCTTTTTCATTTAATTTGAGTGTTGAATTTTTATTTGAATAAAACATACCACGTTGGGGCTCCATCCAAAATTCAATGATTATACAATTGGGTGATCTTAGGTAAACAAGATATTGGATAGTGGACAACACACGTTGGTTTAAACTCTTTAATGGAATTTCTTTAATAAATAAATATGTATTTAAATTTACCAATTGGAAACCTTCACTTAATCTTTCTTGAGTAATAAATCCTAATGCCTGTTCGCATGTCTTTGAATCACATAAATCATAAGTCCATCTATGTGACCATAAATAATATTTTAGATTTGGGTTGGTTAAATGTGGCATGGCAGTATGGAAATGAAATGAATGTAAACTTGTATGGATATTATTACTATTTGAAATCATTGAATAATTGGGTTGGTTTTGATTGTTATTGCTATTATTACTATTATTTGTATTACTATTTGGGTTACCACCAGTTGGATTATTTTGAAGTATAGTTGATGGAGGTGATGAAGTTAACGATGATGGATTTGAACTACTACTATTAGTTGTACCACTATTACCAAGTAATTGTAAATTATTACTACTACCATTTCCTCTTGAAGTGGCAGGTGGTGATTTATCCAATAAATTCTCTTTACTGTTATTTGGTGGTATACCATTAATATTTAAAGCTGTAGTAACTGAACCAAATGGTTTAACTCTTGAAGATTGGCTTGTTGGTGTTGTTGGTCTTGATGATGATGGTGATACTTGGTTGCTATTTGTTGGTGAAGGGAAAGATATTGGTTCAAATTCATATTTTACTAAAATTCTTTTTATTTCTCTATCGAAAATATAAACTGGATAAATATTTGGTATTTCAATATTGTTGTTATTGTTATTATTGTTATTATTTTTAGTTTCGTTATTGTTACTTTTATTTAAATTTGTTGGTTGATATTCTTCATGAGTAAAAACATTAATTGGAATTGAAAGTTTTGAAATTTCTAATTTTATTAAAGCTAAAGTTCTTTCTCTTATATATTCAGAAGTTGAAAAAAAGTATAAATTAATAATTGCAAAACCGCTCATTTCCCAAAGAATTTTAACGACACTGAATGAAGATGATGGAAAATGCATGTGAAGTGTATTGCTATGACTACTACTAATATTGTCGCCATTGGATGAAGGTAATGGTGGTGAAATAAATGAAGGCGAGGCTGAAGTTGGTAAGAATTTAACAAAGTAATGGCCAAAAGAAGTATTTAATGTATGATCTGCCCATTTTGAAAAAAATTTTAATAAAGTATTTCTTGAAGAATCAAAACTAATAGTGTATTGAGGAATACTATTTATAAATATTTGATTTGATTGACTTGAATGTAAATCTGAATTTAACACAACTGTTGGTTTCAATAACACATTTACTGTCTCTAATTTTAACCATCTCTCCCAATTTTGATATGGACCAAGGTTGTTTAATAACTTTAAGAATGAACTTGCTTGAGTTTGATAAGCTTGAATTGGGTCTTTGGTTGGTGGTGGTGGAACCGATGAAGGTTGACATTGAATATAGATTAAAGAGAGTAATCTATCCTTTTCATAAATATGATTTAAAAATGATTGTAAATTTACAACACTTGACGAAGGAGGCTTCTTTGAACCACTGCTTGATGTGCTACCTGTAGTATATTCCTTTAAAAATTCATAGTAAGCCATAACACCAATAGTAACTTTAACATTTGGTTTATATAAATCATCTTTTGATTGATTTTGATTATTAATTTTATTGAGCTTATTACTGCCACCACTGCTACCAACACTACCATTACTATTATCTGGTTCTATTAAAAAGTTTACTCTATATTCTAACTTTATATTTGGTAAAAATTGAAAAGATAAAACAATCTCCAACTCAGGATCTGGCTTTTTAAATGTAACCAATCGGACGTTGAAACCTTCACGTACTCTAAGATCCAATAATTTTAAAATATCGACTTCGACTATGTACTCTTTAGCTATAGTTTTTAAAAGTGGAACTGTGGGTGGTTTGCCAATCCAAGGGAAAGGATAATCTATAGCCATAATATGTTGAATATTCGCCATATTATTAATTACGATTTCAGGAGAAACTGTGGTATTTTCTTGTGGAGTTGATTTGGATGGGTAAAAGTTGTTTGGTACATAGGTGGCTTGTTGCTGGATAATAAATGTTGAAGATGATTGCTGTTGTTGAGATGATAATGATGAACTACTTGTGCTTGAATTTGATCTTGAATGCCTAATTTGAGGAGTTGTTTGTGATGAACTTGTTGAAGAGGCAGCTGTTGATGGTTTGTTCGGTGTAAACTCTTTAAAAAATAATAAATTTTGTATATAACTAACTTTATCTCTGGTTGGGTGAGCGAGATCTGATGTTTTTAGATTTAAAACTCTTCTTGTGTCTCTACTTGTAAATTTAGGTATCATTGATTGATCAAAAAAGAAACCACCTGTATTCATCGCTAAAAATCTTAAATTTTCCGAATCTGGTGAGTACCCAAAATCACAATGGATATATGACCCACTACCAACTTGTACAATTGAACATGATATATCGTTTCTATTAAATGTCATTATTGTATTTTCAACAATTTTAAATTCGTTTTCTGCTAATGATATAACACCATCTGTCAAAACTAAAAAGAAAAAATTATAAATATTTGTTTATTATTTATGATGATGATTTATTTATTACAAATAAAGAACTACACTTACTTATTATCGATGGACATGCAGTGGATGGTAATAATGATAATGCTGTTTGGCAATTTTGGAACATCAATGTAAAATCTGATGTGGGTCTTTCTAAATGTAACTGCTGTTGTTGAATCGATGATGCAATTTCATTCTCTAAAATATCCAATTGCTCTTTAATATCTTTAATAATACATAATACATTTTTTCTCGTTAAAATAGCACCTTGAACTAAAACTCTAAAATGCTCTGGTACAATACCCTGTGCTATTACTGTTAAATAAATTATTGGTGAAAACTATTTTTTAATAAAAGTGTTAGAATTCTTGTTTCAGGGGGTTCAAATAAAAATCTTTTAAATTGAATACATACATTCAAATTATTTGAAATACCTGGCATTTCAAATGGCAAAGATAATGCCAATAATATTGAATCTAATGAATGTACTAATTCGTCAATTAAGACTTTACCACTGACTGGATCGACGCTAGACATACTTGGTGACATATCCAAAGCAAATACAAATCTATACTTCATTGACACTACTGATACTTGAGTTTTTGGTATCATTGAAATATGTGGTAGTTTCATTTTTTCTTTATCGTAATATATATAATAATCATCCTGTTTTTGTTGTGTTTGTGGTTGGTTGTAATTTATGATGCCCATAGTTAATGGATCGGAATTTAATATTGGATTATAATAATTAAACAAATCCAATACTCTTCCATATTCTAATAACGCGTATAGTACTATTATTCCCTCATCTTTTTCTGTGATCTAAAATAGATTATTATTATTAATAATAATGTTACAATGATGCTCCTTTTTTTATACATATGCCAATAGTTACCTTTATACAATTTGTTGATGAGGATGATAATAAATGTTTAAAGTACCATAAAACTCTTTCGGCCCTGTGGAATGTATAATCTTTAACCAAAATATAAATATGTTCTGCTTTTGATTTTAATAAACTTTTTTCTAATTCTAACTCTACTATCTCTTTTGGCTGTTGTTGTTGCTGTTGTTGCTGTTGTTGCTGTTGTTGCTCTAAAGATAACAGTGGAGGTGATTGCTCTTTGCTTTTATCCTCCATTTTTAGATTACTATTAGACTATTATCGTATATATTTAATATTAAAATCTAAAAATTAAAAAAAACTATATTATATTTTAAAATATATAAGTATATATATGTGTGTATATTCTTATTCTATCATTCAAGTATTATTTATTATTTATTTAAACGACTATATATATAATTTAGCTTTAGTTTTTATTTAAGATATGGTGTATAAATAAATTAAAAATATGATGAAAAAATTAAAAAAAAAACAAATTAAAAAAAAAAAATGAAAAAAAATAATAAAAAAATAAAAAAAAATAAAAAAAAATAAAAATAAAAAAAAATTTTTATTTTTTTATTTTTGAAGATAATTGTTTATTTTTATTTTTTTAATTGTTCAAACAATTATCTTTAAAAAATAAAAAAAAAGATAATTGTTTAAACAATTATCTTCAAAAATAAATAAAAAAGATAATTGTTTATTTTTTTTAAACAATTTTCAAATTTATCTTTTTATTTTTTTTTTTTTTTTTTTTATTAAACGAAATGTATCTTTAAAGTTGAAATAATAACCAATTAAGAGTATTACCCCAACAAGCAATTATAGATGCAATAGTTTTTTAAATAAAATATTTTTTTTTTGGGTTAAAATAATTTATTTTATTTTATTTTATTTTATTTTATTTTATTTTATGTTATATTTTATTTTATTTATTATAATTAATTAATTTCTATCCAAATTTATAAATTAATTATCTAATAATTTTGAATCATAATTATTTGTACAAAAGAAGTCATTTTGTAATCTTGGATGTTTTGGTTCAAATTTACAAATTTTCATTTCAGGTAATAACTTTTGGATATGTGGCCATTGAATACGTCCAGTTAATAAAAGTAATCTAGTAGTTGGTTTTCTTAATAATTTAATAGTTTCGCAAACTTTTTCTAAGCATTCTTCACTGAGGAATGGTGGATCTAAACAAATGAAATCGACATTACCTTTAAATTGCTCTGGTACATTCAATGGATCTCTATAATCGTAAAAATGGAAATTATCCTTGTATACTGCAAATCTATTATCATATTCAAATAAATGACTATTTAATAATAAATTATTATTTTTCTAAATTAAATAAATAAATTAATTTAATTAATTAATTTATTAAAAAGGAAATTAATAATTAAAATTAATAATTAAAATAAATTAATCTCCGAATTGGGTGTTTTTTATATATTTAAGAAACTTACATATAAAACTTTAAAAATTGAAGGTGTTGAAAGACAAACTACGACATTTCCACCAATAGTTTCTTGCTCGATAACGTTGGCTACATATTTCGATGTTTCTTCTTCATACCAAAATTGTGATAATTGCCAATCTTCTCCTATTTCAAATTTATCATTCGATCTCTCTTCTTTGTTTTTTAAAAAATCATTTAAAATACTTAAAGTGTCTGTTGGTAATGTAATTTCGTCTTCAGAATCCGACATGTTTGTTTTACTTTATATGTAAATATTAAAAATAAAAAAAATAAAAAAAATATTTTTCGTTTTTTTTTTAATTTTTTTAAAATTTTTTTTTTAATAATAATTATAAATATCAATAAAAATAAATAAATAAAAAATAAAAAACAATGCAATTATAATCATATTTAAAATATCTTGTTCTTGTGGATTTACATCGCATCATTGAAAGAGGGGTACTATAAAGCTACTACATTTAGATTTAATTTTTTTTTTTAAAAAAAAGAGTTAATTTATAACAAAACTATTTTAATATAATAATAATCTAATACAGAAATAAGCCATTTAAATTTTAATTCAAGATAAATAATACCCAAAATTAATTTTTAATAATATCTTTAATTAATTACCAAATTAAAAAAAATTTTATTTTTAAAAAATAAATTTTTTTTTTTTTTTTAGCCATTATCGAAAAAAAAAAAAAAACGATAAAGCCCCTAATCACACAATTATAAAATGAAGATTAATTCAAATACTGTATAGTTGGAAATAAACTTGTATTAGTACCATATAAAAGGAATCATGTAGAAAAATATTGGGGATGGATGTCAAGCGAAGAAATTAGGGAACAAACAGCATCAGATTTATTAACCTTAGAGGAAGAGTATGAAAACCAACAAAGTTGGTATGAAGACGAGCACAGTATGTTGTATATAATATATAAATTCATTAGCATTAAAAAATACACTCAACCCCCATACTAATATTATTTTTATCCATTTATTATATAGAAATAACATTTATTATTTTAGACAAAGATTTATTAAAAGATAGAGAATGGCAATCAAATCAAGATGACATCGAATCAATGGTTGGTGATGTAAATATATTTTTTAACGAGTATGAAGATGAAGGTACAGGTGAGTTAGAGATTATGATAGCTGAGAATTCCAGCAGAAGAAAAGGTTTAGCAAAAGAAGCCTTGAATATAATAATGCAATATGCAATTGAAAAGCTATCATCTAAAAAATATATCGTTAAAATTGGCGAAGAGAACCAAGCATCCATTCAAATGTTTAAATCTATGGGTTTTGTTCAAGTTGGTGAAGTTAATGTTTTTAAAGAAGTAAATTTGGTTTTAGAGTTCACCGATAATGTATTATTAAATTTAAAACAATTAAACGAAAATTTAATTTACAAGCAATGGGAATAATAATAAATATATATTTGAAAAACAATAGAGTTTTTTTTTTTTTTTCTAAAATAAATATTTTTATTATTTTATTTTTTTATTTATTACTATGTTGTAGTAAAACTTTTACTATTTAACCGTTTTTTTTTGAACTTTTGTTTATCCTTATCAATATTCGTATCCTCTACCTTTCTTTTACCTGTATCTATATGTGTTTGTTTAAATATAATCTATTTTCTAATTACACTTTGATAACCATTAGTGTATGATGTGTTTTTTAAAATTGTTAAAATTTGTTCGATATCAGTATGAGCCTCTGATAATTTGTTTTCGTCACCTTTGGCTTCAACAACTAATTGCATAATTTTTTTGGTTAATAATTGAACGTCAGTATCTTTTAATGTTAAATTGTGTGATGGAGCGGCAGCAGCTGCAGTGGCTGGTTTGGCAGATGAGGATGATGTTGATGATGGTTTGGAGGTAGTGGCAGCTAATGGTGCACCAATATCAAATCTAAATTCTAATTCTTTTTTATTTGCTCTATGGTTGATACCAGCAATTTTAATTGAACCAATTTCACCAGTAGTTTTTAAGTGGGTAGCTGGGCAACAATTTATATTCCAATCTTTTAATTCGACAAGTGTTAAAGATGTAACTGATCTATAATAGCAAATTAAAGCTTGATTAGTACAATTATAATGATTTATTGTGTATTTTATGTATATTTTTTAGTTATGTTTATAACACATACTCTGGTACTGGGAATTTATCATAAATAAAAGTATTATTGACTAAATTTGATTTATATTTTTCTTCGGCTTCTTTTCTATTAATTTGACAAACTTTAAATTCTAAATTTTCTTTAATAATTTTATTGGCTTCATCTTCGATTTGTTGAATAATTTCAGCAGTTGGTTTATCGGCTTGATCATATTCAACACTTATTCTACCTTTTTTACTATTTGTACAATCAACTGAAATGGTTAATGGTGTATTTAAAATTTTAACAATAGCACCTTTTAAAACATGGCATGCTGAATCTGTAATTGAATCTCTTGGTTTTGACATCTTAATATCTTTTGAATTATTTATATAATATAAAAATAAAAATATAAAAAAAAAAAGAAAAAAATTAAAAAAAATTATGAAAAAAAAAAAAAAAATAAAAAAATTTTATTTTTTTCATTTTTATTTTTATTTTTAATTTATAAAATTAAAATATAATTAGCAATATCAATAACAAAATAAATAATCTTAACTAGTACTTTATGTTTTTTTTTTGTAGTGTAGTTTAAATTAATATTTCCATTATAGAAATTTCTAAAAAAAAAAGAAAAAAAAAAATCAAAAAAAGTAAATTATTTTACTTTTTTTTTATTTTTTTAATTTTATTTTAAAATAAAATTAAATTACTTTATATAAAATAAAATAAAATGAATTTGGAAGATTATGAAAAATTAAAAAAACTAGATGCATTTTCAAGACACAAAAAATTTATAAACGATTATTTCTCACAGAAAAATAAAGAAAAAAATAAACACAAACATAATAGTAATAATAATATATATAGGAACTATAAATCAGATTATGATATTTTAAAAGAAAATCATCAGTTTTTAAGAGACCAAGACAATGATACCGATGACAGTGGCGTTGAAGAACTTACCTGGGAAGAAAGATTAGCAAAAAAATACTATGATAGATTATATAAAGAATATGCAATTATAGACCTATCACATTACAAGTCTGGTGAAATTGGTTTAAGGTGGCGTATCGAATCAGAGGTTGTATCAGGTCGTGGTCAATTTACCTGTGCAAATAAAAAATGTTCAGCTCTAACAACAACACGAAAAGAAGAATTAAAAAGTTTTGAAGTACCTTTTTCATACAGGGAACAAAATCAAGATAAAATAGCATTGGTCAAAGTAGTGTTATGTCCTCTATGTTCAAAGCTTTTAAATTATAGTAATATCAAAAAAAAGAAAAAAGAATTAAAAGAATTTTTAAAAAAAAATGACAATAATAAAAAAGAAAAGGAAAAAGAAAAGGAAAAAGATAAAGATAAAAAAAAGAGAAAGAATCGAAATGACAACGGAAGCGATAGTGACAACTATAGCAGCAGCGAGGATATATATGACAGGGATGATTATGAAGAGAGTAAAGAGAATGCAAGCGAATCAAGTAGTAAAAAGTTAAAAATAGAAAAGGAAATAAAAAGTGAAGATAATGAGGATATATTTAAAGATATGTTTATATAAAGTCATAAATAAATATAAAAATAAATTTGTAAAAAGTATTCTTTTTTTTTTTTTTATATAAAATAAAATAAAATAAAATAAAATTAATTTAAATCTAATTTATTTATCTTGTCCAAAATATCCAAATCAATATCGGATGTCATTTGTTGTTGTTGACGACCTTTATTAATCTGCTCTTGAATTTCCACCATTGTTAACGAGCTGAGAAGATTATCAATGCCATTGTTTTTAAAAGGTGGGATTTGATAGTTTTTATATTTAATTATCTAAAAAATAAAAATAAAAATTATAAGTAAAGGTAATTAATTTTTTATAACTTTTTTATTATTTATGATTGTTTAAACAACTTACATGTTCCTTGATCTGATTTATATGTTGCTCATAAATATAAATTGAAGGTATTTCTAATAATTGGTTACTTGATATTAATCTTTGTTTTAAGATTTCTATAAATTCTAAAGAGTCTCTTGAGGATTGGCAATTTGTAAATATTAAGCAGCATTGGTCCACTCTTGATATGTATGGTTTGATGTTCAAGTAATAGTCAATTTGTTCCTTGATGTCAAGTTGAAAATCAACATTAAATAGAATGAGTGTTTCTAAATTATTTAGAATTCCTTTTATCATATCTAAAAGTTTTTTTGAGTTTTTTGACTCTTTTATTAATGTTAGTGAGGGTGTTTCTATAATCTGAAAGTTATTTACAGTTGCAATATTAAATGGCTTTATAAAATGTTTTTGTTGTTGTAATAGTTGATCTCTGGCAGTGGAAATGGTGGGTATTGGATTAGAGCTTTCAACTCCTGTTCCATAATCATCTTTATAAATTGAGTTGTCATTAAATTTGTATGATCTTATAATTAATTGCTGTAGCTGCTGCTGCTGTTGTGATTGCTTATCGTCTTCATAGTCAATATCTTCATCTTCATCTATAAAATCATCATTATCCTCTATATTATTATTATTATTATTATTATTATTAACATTATTATTTTGACTTGTATCTAAATTTACTATATCACAACCACCACCCATAACAATACTAAATAATAAATCATCTGTTTTATTTCCTAAAATTATGGAAGTTGAAAATGGACTCTGTATAATTGGTATTGAATGGAATGATTCGATTACATGATTTAAATATTCTATAGGTTTTGACTTGTTCCTAAGAATTGAGCATATTCTCCCTATTACAGTCTTGAATATTGGTAATAATGTAGTTGGGGAGTTTGAGCCTTCAAATAAAAAACTATAATTTTGAACTACAAATTCAACATCTTTAACAGTTCTATTTAATTCTCCTAAACAATAATGATATTTTGATCTATCTATTAAAATATCAATTTCATCTGAAATATATTTTTCCAAATCCTTTAAAAACAATAAAAATTAATATTAAAAGCATTTATTAGGGTTGTAAAGATATGTAAAAGTACTACTACTTACATTTAATAGTGGAAAGTCAATTAGTATATCATACACATATTGTTGTATCATTATTTCAATCTTGTTAATAGTTTGAAAAATTTCTGTTTTTAAAGTAGAATTTGGTGGTATAGATGATACAGATGATAGTGATAAATCTATAATTCTATCAATAATCTGTTCGCAATTATTAATCTCTTCTGGTATATTCATTATTATTACAATTTCTTTATTATTATATTTGGGTGATAAAAATAAAAATAAAAAAAATATTTCAAAAATAAAAAAATTAAAAAAAAAATTAAAAAAAATAATTTAATTTTTAGTAAATTTTTAAATTTTTATTTATTTACATCAAATCAAAAAATAATTTAGAAAAAAAGATACTGAATTTTATATATAGATCTTTATTTTGATAATGAATTGAAAATTAAATTAACTAGGAATGGAGAATTTTTAATTCTATATAATAATAATAAATGATAAAATTGATGATGAAGGTTGACCCGGATCTGTGACCAAATGACATTAATTTGTACTTAATAAAACGGATGAAAGTGTAACTTGTTTTTGTTGGTGGTATTTAATTGATAAATGATGATAGAATAAACCCCCAATGCTTGATAAATGAAGTAAAAAACCCAATTAAAAAAAATAACCCAATGTAAGATGAATGATTTGAAAAAACCACAGCGTTTGATGAATTAAAAAAACCCACAATGTTTGACCAATTAAAAACCACAGCGTTTGAATAACTTAATAAACCCACAATGTATGATGAAAGATTTGAAAAACAACCCCAATGTATGATGAACGATTTGAAAAAACCACAGCGTTTGAATGACTTAATAAACCCGCAATGATTGATGAAAGATTTGAAAAACAACCCCAATGTTATTAATGAATGAATCGAAAACCACATTTAAAAAGAATATGTTGAACCCCAATGTATGATGAGTTACTTGAAAAACCAAATAAAAAGAATACTGAACCCCAATGTTTGATGAATGAACCCCAATTTAATAGAATATATGGAACCCCAATGTTAGATTAATGACTTGAAAACCCCAATTAAAAAGATAATACTGAACCCCAATGTTTGATGAATGAACCCCAATTAAAAAGAAGATATTGAACCCCAAATGTTTGATGAGTGATCTGAAAAAAACCCAGAATTTGATGAATTGCTTGAAAACTACAATTATAAAGAAAATACTGAACCGCGAAATAATGGAATTTATGGAACCCCCAATGTATGAATAATTACTCAAAATAACGTATTGAAACTGAAAAAGAAAGACTTCAAAATTTTTATTTATATATCAATATCAAAATTTATTAATATATATAAAAATATTAGAGATTAAAAATTATCGTTATCCTCACTTTTTACCGATTATCTTTATCGTATTCATTTTTCGATTTTTTTAACAAAAATTATCTCTTTTTTTAGCTTTTTTTTATAAAAATATTCATTTTTATTCATTTTATAAAATTTGCTGATTGAGCCCATGCACATCACAATTTTTTTCTTTTCTGCCATTTTTTTTAATATTTTTAAAAATTATAAACAATTTTTTTTTTTTTTTTTTTAAATTTTTTAAATTTTTTATTTTTAAATTTTTTGTGAAAAATTTTGTTAATAATTAATTCAAAAAATATAATAATAAATAAAAAATGTAATTAAATAAATATTATGACAGTTATGTGCAATATCCAAATTTAAAAATAAATTTAACAAAAAATATTTTTAATTATATATAAATAATATTAAAGATTTATTAATTTAAAACATTTAAAAATATAATTAAATAAATATTATGGCAGTTATTTGAAAAGCACAATATTTAAATTTAAAAACAAAAAATATTTTTAATTATATATTAATAACATCAAAGATTTATTAATTTAAAACATATATAAATAAATATTATGGCAGTTATTTGATAAAGCGCAATATTTAAAATAAATTTAACACTACATATAAAATAATAATTAAATAAATATTTATATTATAAAAAAACAATCAAATAAATTTTTATATTATAAAAAAATAAATAAATTCATTAAAAAGTTAAATTATTGTTTTTTTTTGAAAAAAAAAAACAATCAAATAATAAAAACCTTAATATATTTTCATAAAATTTTTTTTTTTTTTTTAAAAATATTTTATTATTTTAAAAATTATTATCCTTTTTTTATCTTTTTTTTTATTTTTCATTATCTATTTTTATCTTTTTTAAAAAAAAAATTATTTTTTGAATAAAATCTTCCTGATGATCCAAAAAACGATAAACGATAACGATAATTTTTAATCTCTAAAAAATATTAAAAACAATTATATTTTAAAAAAATAAAAATAAATTAATAAATAATAACATTAATAAATTTAAAATTATAAAAAATAAATATATTTTAAAATTAATAACTAAATATCAATGGAAGGAACAAATAAAAGACCTATTACCAGAAGAAATTCAATTGAAGATAGGGAATAAAATTTAGCTAAGTTTGACAAAAAAAAAAAAAATTTCTAAGTTTCCCCCACTCCCACACCCACCCACTTGACTAATTTTTTCATTTTTAAAACTTAGAAACTTAAAAAAAAAAAAAAAAAACTTAAAATTACATTATTTTTTGTATGAAAAAAATTTAAAATTCTTGTACAATTTTATTTAATCATACCATTTTTGAAATATTTGAATAATTATAAATGACAGAGTTTTCGACAATATCTACTCTTGAAATGTTTGCCCATTCCCTTATTAACACACATTGTTCTATTCTTTCCCAACCCAAATTTGATCTGTTGTCTGTAACCAACAACTTAGCACCCGAAAATGTTCTTTCAATTTCAACGGACGAAGAAGCAACTGAAAGTACATTTCTTACAATTGAATATTATGTTGGATATTCAATACTATTTTCTTTCTAATATTTTATTGTATCATTTCTATGATCTAAACTTTCTTCTACACATAGTCAAGCTGTTTTGGGTTTTTTGAAATTACTTTTAGTGCATGGGACTAAAGCAACGGAGGTTTCGTTAGCACATTGATTAATGTTGTGATCTTGACCACAATTGAAACAAACTTTATTCTTCATTCGGAATGCAATCATGCCATTCTTCATTTCTTTTATTATTTCTTTTTTAAAAGTTACTTTTGTTACTATTTAATAGGAGTTGTAAGTATTCAAATTAAAAATATAAATTATCAATAAAAACAATGTTAAAAAAATAAAAGATACATTGTATTTTCAAATTAAATCCTGTATTTTTAATTTTTATTTTATCAATAAAAGGCGAATATATATAAAAAATACTGTCTTTTTATTTTTTATATTTTTTTTTTTATTTTTTTATTTTTTTTTTAATTTCCTTATAAAAAAATTAATTTTTATCTTTTTTTTTATTACTTTTCTTATTTTTATTATTTTTATTATAATAATATTAAGTTTTAATAAAACTATAATAAATAAAACAATATGACCTAATCAATTTGAAAAAATTAAAATAATTTGTACCCTAAAAAAAAAATAAAAAATGAATTTAAAAATAAATAATTTATAAAACAATACTTAATAATTTGCATAAATAAATAATAAACAATATTTTTTTTCAAATCGAATTTTCTTTTTTTTTTTTTATCCGTTATTCGATTTTATTCTCTAATAAACATCCTAGTCCGGTTCGGAGCTTTAGGTGGGGGAAACTTAGACTTTTTTTTTTTTTTTGTCAAACTTAGACTAATTTTATTCCCTACACCGAATGTGAGTGTTGTAAGACTATTTGGTAATGTGCCAGGTATAACTACTTGGTTAAAATCATAACCGAATTTGAGTGTTGTTAGACTATTTGGTAATGTGCCGGGTAGAACTACTTGGTTAAAATCACGACCGAATGTGAGTGTTGTTAGACTATTTGGTAATGAGCCGGGTAGAACTACTTGGTTAAAATACTCACCGAATGTGAGTGTTGTAAGACTATTTGGTAATGTGCAGGGTTGAACTACTTGGTTAAAATGATTACCGAATGTGAGTGTTGTTAGACTATTTGGTAATGTGCCGGGTGGAACTACTTGGTTAAAATCACCACCGAATGTGAGTGTTGTGAGACTATTTGGTAATGTGCCGGGTAGAACTACTTGGTTAAAATAATAACCGAATGTGAGTGTTGTAAGACTATTTGGTAATGTGCCGGGAAGAACTACTTGGTTAAAATCATGACCGAATGTGAGTGTTGTGAGTCTATTTGGTAATGTGCAGGGTTTGACTACTTGGTTAAAATCATGACCGAATGTGAGTGTTGTGAGTCTATTTGGTAATGTCCTAAGTAGAACTACTTGGTTAAAATCACGACCGAATGTGAGAGTTTTGAGATTATTGGGTAATGTCCAAGGTAGAACTACTCGGTTAAAATACTCACCAAATGTGAGTGTTGTAAGACTATTTGGTAATGAGCCGAGTGGAACTACTCGGTTAAAATCATGACCGAATGTGAGTGTTGTGAGTCTATTTGGTAATGTGCAGGGTTTGACTACTTGGTTAAAACTATCACCGAATGTGAGTGTTGTAAGACTATTTGGTAATGTGCAGGGTTTGACTACTTGGTTAAAACAATGACCGAATTTGAGTGTTGTGAGATTATTTGGTAATGTTCTGGGAAGAATTACTTGGTTAAAACTACAACCGAATGTGAGTGTTGTGAGACTATTTGGTAATGTACCACGTAGACCACGTAGAACTACTTGGTTAAAATAATAACCGAATGTGAGTGTTGTGAGACTATTTGGTAATGTGCCGGGAAGAATTACTTGGTCAAAATCACGACCGAATGTGAGTGTTGTGAGACTATTTGGTAATGTGCCGGGTAGAACTACTTGGTTAAAATAACCACCGAATGTGAGTGTTGTGAGATTATTTGGTAAAGTGTCGGGTTGAACTACTTGGTTAAAACAATGACTGAATGTGAGTGTTGTGAGACTATTTGGTAATGTGCCGGGTAGAATTACTTGGTTAGAATCATAACCGAATGTGAGTGTTGTGAGTCTATTTGGTAATGTGCCGGGAAGAATTACTTGGTTAAAACGAGTACCGAATGTGAGTGTTGTGAGACTATTTGGTAATGTGCCGGGTGGAACTACTTGGTTAAAATCACGACCGAATGTGAAAGTTGTGAGATTATTTGGTAATGTGCCGGGTTGAACTACTTGGTTAAAACAATGACCGAATTTGAGTGTTGTGAGATTATTTGGTAATGTGCCGGGTTGAACTACTTGGTTAAAACAATGACCGAATTTGAGTGTTGTGAGATTATTTGGTAAAGTGCCGGGTTGAACTACTTGGTTAAAATCACCGCCGAATGAGAGTGTTGTAAGACTATTTGGTAATGTGTAGGGTTTAACTACTTGGTTAAAATCATCACCAAATGTGAGTGTAGTAATTGTATTTGGTAAAGTTGTTGGAGTTAACATTTTATTAAAAGTGGACAAATATAAATTTTTCAAAAATGGTGGAAATTCATTTTTATCTGGTAGTGTATCACCATGCCACTCAAGTGATGTTATATATGATTTATCTTTAAACTGGTCATAACTTGATTTATTTAATTCTACAACATTATGTTCAATAAACTTTAAAATATGTTTATGAATTTCATTTCTTAAAAATATATTATTCCAAACTATATATAATAATCTATAATGAATAGTTAAAAAGAGAAAACACCAATTAATATGCTTTTAATTAATCGACTATTATTTATATTGTATTGTATTGTATTGTATTGTATTGTATTGTATTATATTGTATTGTACTTACCTATCACTAATATTACTACTGTTTTTTAACTTTTCATTTACTTTAAAGTTAATTAGAGATGATAGTAGTTTATCCATTGTCAATATAAAATAAATAAAAAAATAAAAAAATATGAAATTGATATCTTGTAAAATATAAAAAAATTTCAAAAAAAATAAAAAAAATTCCAATATTTTTTTTTCTTTTTTGCCCTTCTTTTAATTTTTTTTTTTTTCATTTTATTTAAATTTTTGTTTGTCAAAACCTTAGATCATTCAATACACTGAGTAATTTTGTTCCATATTCTAAATTTTCACGGTTAATAGTTGAAATTATTTTAAAATGATTAATTTAAAAAAAAAAAAAGTTTTCAACATACACGGCAAATAAACAAAATTTAAATCTAGATTAGAATGGTTTTAGGAAAAATCCAGATATTATTACAAAATATTAAACTATTATTTAATTTAATGTTATTATTTAATATTTTAAGGTGAATAATAAACATTATTAAAAAATATTTTTTTATCTCTATTTTTTAATAAATAGATGTCATTAGAAGAAAAGTTGGAATGTAATAAAAAGTGTGTTAATTCTTGATTACCAAATTCTATTGTGATCTCTATTAATTTTTTTGATTCTTTAACAGAGTATAATGAATCATTTTCTAATTCTTTTTTCATTAGATTTGATTTATTTGATAATACAGTTGTTTTGAATATTGGTAATGAACCCTTGCAGCCGATACTCTAACTAAATCAATGAATCTGTGGCATTGGTGGAAACCCATTGATTTATCAGCTATCTTTGATAATAAGCAAATACTAATATTATCTACTTCTTCAAATATAGTACTGACCAAGTTAGGGTGTTTCTTTGATAATTCAAATAAAATATTTGTATGTTCTCATTTTAATAATAAATGTTCCCATTCCTTTCTTATTTTAATTGTATAATTTCTGTTGTTTGAAGGGATTGTTACTGTTTTGATTGCTAAATAGGACAATGCATTATGTGTAATTTCATTTTTGGAAACATCTTTAAATAACCTGAGATGAATTTATAAATTCTGTCAGTGTATATTTTATAATTGAACTAATGTCTGATTTTGTTAAATATAAAATAATCCATTTTAAAAGTGAGATAATCAAATCCTGTTTTCCTTTTTTTTAGTCCATAGTTTAAATTATCGTTGAATGAGTTTATATTAAATGGAGTGAGTTCATTTTGTTCAAAATTATATATTTCTGGATTCATTAATGCTCTTTCTAAATTCTTTAAAAATGCTATACTTTTGGTGATTTTATTTGGGCCTGCACATGCACACAAGTTGTTGTATATTTAAAATATATAATTAAATTATAATATAAAAAATTTAATGTAATTTAAAAAAATATAAATAAATTTAAATAAATTTAAATTATTTTTAATAAATTAAAAAAGGGTGAACTATTTTTTTTTAATTTTTTTAATTTTTTTAATAAATCACAAAAGGCTTTATTGAAAAAAAATGGTAGATTCTCCGAGAATTTTTAGACATTGTTTCACCTTTGGCAAAAGATAATTTTAAAAGCTATTTTAATAATAGATTTGATAATAGCTATAAGCCCCAGGTGCATTTTTAATTTGGTTGTTTATTTTATATCTTTAAAAGATATAAAATAAAGAAAAAAATTCATTATGGTAAAATTCATAAAAATAATTTTTTTTTTTTTTAATTTTTTTTTTTTAAATTAAAAAATTAATTTTTTATTATTTTTTATTTAAAATTAATAATTCACCCACATGGATAACAGTAACACAATTAATTATACAGATAATTCTGATTATTTACCACCAACTTATTTAATAGAAAATGATGTAGAAAACTATCTTTTATCATTTTCAATAGAACAAGAAGATGAATATAAAAGTGTAAATAATATTATTATTAAAATCAATTAAATTAATAAATTCAAATATTTTTATTAATAATAGTTTAATTATTTAGTTTTTTAAAAAATTTGGATTTGTAGTTATCAGAGATATTTTAAATAAAAAGCAATGTCAAAAAACTATAGATGATATATTGGAATATGTAGAGTCCTTTAAATGGGCATCATATACAGCCAAAGAATCGGACAAAACAATTAAAAGAGATGACCCAAAGACATGGAAGACTTGGCCCAATCTTGCTGCTGAAGGTATAGTTGGATATTCACCAATTTTTTCAGATACAACCATAGAGAACCGTTCAAACCCAAAAATATATGATGTATATACTCAACTATTAAATAGAAAAGATTTATACATTAATCATGATAGATATGGATTTTTTAGACCAACCAAGCAAGTTCTTCATCCTTTTCCACAAATTACACCAGATCATCATGTATATCATAATAAATTAAAAGATGAATCTCTATCAACATCAGCAACTGCAACATCCACAAAAGAGGATTATGAAAATTGGAAAACAGTCCATAATTTACATTTAGATATGAATCCATTTTTATTTTTAGAAGATGAGGTAATTAAAATTTAAACTTAAAGAAAAAATAAATAAAAACACCAATAAAACTAACTTTTTTATAGAATGACGAACACAGGCAAAAAATATTTTCAACATTAAACTATAAACATGGGGATTCATTCTTTATTGAAAACAATAATCCAGGCTCATTAAAATTAGATGAGCTACATATTCAGGGTTTAATAAATCTTTGTGATAATAAAGATGAAGATGGAGGTTTCATTTTAGTACCAGGGTTTCATAACCATTTAGAAGAATGGACCAAAAACAATCACTCATTAAAAATGAAATATGGATTACACCAAGACTTTATATGTGTTCCTCCTGAAAATAAAATTTATAATCAAGCAATTAGAATTACAGCTAGAGCAGGATCATTAATATTATGGAATCAAAGTATGTACAGGTTACTTTTTGAATAATATTTATAACTACTATTACTAATTCATTTATTTAATCTTTTAAAAAGAAATGCTACATGGAAGTAAGCCAAATAACTCTGGTAGACCAAGACTTGCAATGTTTGTTAAAATGTTCCCATCAACCCAAATACCCAAAGAAACTTTAAATAGAAGATGTGAATCAATTAAAGAATCTTTTGAAAAACATAATAATCATCCAATCGAAACAAGCAGTTTAACAGACACACAAAAAAAAGTTTTAGGTTTAGAGTTTTGGTAGAAAATATTTTTTATTAATAATTATCTTACAATAAACTATTATTTTTAAATTTTTATTTATTATTTATTATTATTTATTTTAATTTGGGGATGAAGTTTCACCCATGGTTTGCCAATCGAAATCAAATACTGTTGGTAGGCCTACATGCGAAACACTGCTCCATGCTGGATTATCCCATGAAAATGGTGGTAACCCTTCAGTTGTTGGTCCACAAATTGCAGTGCATGATAAAGTTTTAACCTGACTTGATGATGTTACCCTTTATTAAATTAAAAAAAACATATTAATATTTTAAAGGTTTTATTAAAATAGTGATAAATGATAGTTACTTTGAATCGACACCACCAAAAGGTATACCAACTCTATCAGTTAAAAGATCAGCTCTTGAACTAATTGAATTTAATGGATTTGAATATGAGAATGGATCGGTTTTAAAATTATTAAATTGCATAATGTTTTTCATATCTTGGAAATTTGAAACCATTGTAGCATTACGTTTGAATATTAAAGCTCTTGAACATTGTTGATAAGAGTATTGGTTTGTTGGTGAATATACAGTTGGGTAACCACTAACATTATAGATATATTCAAAGAATGGGATGTTGTATGAGCTAAAAAATTGGTTTTGATTTAAGAGATCAGTAAGATCAGACTTCTCTATATAACCTGGGATTTGTTCTGCAATCCAAAATGAGTCTTTTGGTAATGGTTTGCCAGTTTGGAAAAGATTATAGTTGAGTACCATCCATTGATTGTTATAAGTGCCACTGTTGTATTGTGAAAATGTATTTATCCAAGTTGGTGAATCATATGATAATAAACATGCAATCATTGCTCTTTGCCAAACTAATACTGATTGTGGTACAACATATTGATAAAGTGAACTATTAAAAATATCATTGGTAGTTTCCATAATTGCTAAACCATTGCTAATATAAAAATCCTAAAAATAATATAAAATAATATTAATAAACAAATAGTAATTTGGCTGAATGATTATAATGTATACAAACATCTTTGGAACTTAGGAAACCTGGTGATGAACTAAAGCTAACCTTATAGATATATTTACTGAAGGATAAGTCATAGAATTTATAAATTCTTAACATACCATAATAATATCTCCAAGTAGTGTGGGCAAATAAAACATCTGAAAATCCTGGTAAAACTCTGATTAAAGCACTGCAATCTAGCATTTGATGTTCGATACTTGGCTCAATTTTACCTTCTTTATCATCTCTTATTTGATCCATTAAAATTTTCTTTTTACTTTTTACATAATCGAAATTGTTATTTGATTGTGGTTGTGGTTGTGGTTGTGATTTTTTGTCAGTGGATGGATACAATGATACTAAAGTTTCTAAATCACCAGCTGATGTTAAAAGATAAAGCTCTATTTCGCTCATTTCTGGTAATGGTGAGCTTTGGTAACCGTTTACTAAACCATCAAATTGTGACATGATCAATGATGCTGCATACCAATATTCTGAAGTTGCATTATTTTCTGCGATTGAATTTCTAACAAAAGTCATTTGTTGACTAATAAATTGAACCAATTCATCAGATGGTGTATGTTGTTGATTCTTGAATTCGCTGGCTGCAAAATTTATCCAAAATTGATTGATTCTTTCTGCTGTTAATGTAGATTCAATAAATCCTGCAAAGTATGCTAAATTATTATCTGAAACCAATGAGTGACCTTGTGGTAAAGCAGTTGATATATTTAATTTACCCCATCCTGTTGTTTCAATTTCATCACTATAACTTGCATTCATTATAACAATTTGTTGACTATCATTTGATCCATCTTGTTGATTATTTGTTGTTAAATAGTATTGGTCTTCATTGTAATTATATATTAATTGAACTTGATTAGATTTATTTGTATATATTATTTTATTTATTATTATATTTGGATAGTTATTATTATTATTATTACTATAAGCATTTATTAATAATATTATATTTAAAAATAGAATTAATAATAATTTCATTTTTTTAAAACTATTATTATAATAACTATTTTTTTAAATAATTTAATATTTTTCTTTAATTTATTTTATAGAGTGGTTATAAAAAAATTGGTTTTACAATAAAAAATTTAAAATAAAAAAAATGGGAATAATATTTAAATATTAACACATTAATGTGAAAAAAAAAATATTAATAGTGAAAAAAATAAATAAAAAATTAGCTAATTATTGCCAGTGTTATTTCTCCACATTTATGATTGATGATGAAAATTCTCTGTGCAATAGGTAATATGAATAAATAATAATGAATTTTTTTAAAAGATTCCTATAAAATAAAAAAAAAAATTATTTTATTTTTTTTTATTTTTTTTTTTAAATTTTTTAAAATTTCTGGGGTTGATTACTGGTAAATAATAATTATTATTGTTTTCATGTAAATCATAGTATTTATCCAAATATATTTTTTTTTATCATTCAAATATAAATAATATACTATAAGTAGCATAAATATTATATATTTATTTTATATATTTAAATAAAAAAATTAAAAAAAAAAATCTAAAAAATAATATCATAAAATTTCTTTTTCTTTTTCTTTTTTTTTTTTTTTATGAATTTGTGTGTTAATTTTTTTTTAAAATAGATCTTCAAAAATCTGATGATATCATCAAACTCAATATCCTCTTGAAAATTTAAATTCACTTACTAAATTTTAAAGTTTTTTTTAAAAAAAATAAAAAAATTATAAAAAAAGATTCTTTTGTGTTCTTTATAATTATTATATTGTGACTTTGAATAAAAAGTATTCGAGTGTTTGTGGAGTAAAAATAGAATAATTTAAATTATAATAGATTTTATGTTAAAAATATTATTTTTTTATTGTAATTTTAAATAAATTATTTTTTTAAGACTTACTTGTTAATTTAAATTGTATTTTTTTCGTATTTTTACAATTCAAAATGGATAGCAACTTCCATCAATTTTTATTTTAAAAATCATAATCATAATAATTAATTTAAGCGTTATGGGGTAAAAAAAATAATATAAATACTTTTTTTTTTATAGTTTTTTATTTTAATCCAAAAACAAACAAATAAACCAACAATTAAGAAATAATAAATAATTTTATTAATAAAATAATTAAAAAAAAAAATGAAAATTATATTTGCTTTAATTTTAATTATTGTTTTAGCATCAGTATGCAGTGCTATTAATGTTGCACCAAAAAACAATAACAAGAAACCAAATGGTGACCTCTCATGTGCTGGTGCATTCAATAGTCGTGATACATTTAAATCAAGTTTCAGTTTTGTAGGTCTTAATCAACAAAACCCATTTGCATCCGATAGCAACAGCGCATCATTCTTCCTCAATGGTGAGTTAGTATATGATAGAAGTGTGCAATCAATGGTAATCAATTATAACCTCAATAATCAAGGTGGCGATATTGTTACTTGGATCTATGGTCATAATGTTTGTATAAAATAACAAATGAAATTTTTTTTTATTATATTAATGTTTTTTTTTTTATTAATAAAAATAGTCTACCCAATACACTTATTTCCAAGATAATGGTAAGTGCATCCAACAAGAATATGACTCATCCCAATTCCCAAATCCATTTTATGTTACAGGTGGTCTTACAACAGTAGGGGCAATTAAAGCAGAGTCATTAGTATGCCAATCTCCAAATCAATTTGGTGCTTCCATCGTTACTGTTGATG